CTTATAATTCGGTAAAAAGTATCTAAGTAGGTACTAATATACCTACTTTTTACTACTAAAAATTTTTAAAACTAAATTTAACTAAAAAGACTAAACTGACCATTTATTTTTTAACTCAAAACAGGACATGGGTTTATTTATACTCTAAAAACTATAACTTTATACAATTAGTGTTCACTGTAAAATTATATTCGGTATAGACGGTAATTATTAAATGCAACATATTTTTCTTAATTATTAATTACATTTGTCAGTGGATTAAATTTTCTTTAATAAAGTTGGTGATGATTTTAAATAAAAATAAAATTCTGCTCAAGTTTTTTTATTGTTATCTTTGTTAACAACATCGCCTTTAGAACTCTGGAACCGTAAGTGTTTCTTTCAGACGTCCACAATTTATTCAAAATAAAAAAAATACTCTTTCTACCGGAGCATTCGTAGCAGGTAGACATAAAATATATTCGATTAAAAAAAATTATGTTGAAGATTGTTGACTTTGAATACTTCCATCCAACGAGTTACGGGACAATTTTGTGTCCCGGAGCTTTGTTTGGGGACAATGGGACAGGTGACCGAGAAAAGGGACAGTCCCGTTCAAAACGGGACGTGTGGTCACTTTAGCTATAACCCGGCGACGGCTACGTGGGGCAGTGGCTTAGCAATTAGTTGTTGCGCTGGGGGCCGCGGGTTCGAATCCCGCACGGAACAAGTATTTGTATGGCTTACAAATAATTGTTCCGGGTCTGGATGTTTGTCCTTGTGCAATTTATGTTTGTAAACTGCCTCCACGACACAGGAGAAAATCCTAGTGTGGGGGTAACGTTTTTTTACAATTGAAATTGAAAGATTGAACCCTTATACTTCTTGTTGATTTTTGTATTAGTACTCGTAGTTAGGTATATTACTTTTCAATACGTGACACGTAAAAATTAACAATAATCAAAAACACATCTACGAAACATCCTATTTATTTATTTATTCTTTCTTGCACCAAATATTTGTACAAAAGGCGAGCTATATATTTATTTACCTATAGTGAATAGGTATCTTTTAAACTCACAATTTTCAATGCTTCATTTTTAATATATAATTAATTATAAAATTTCATAATTAGATAATATATGAAAATACATAATTCTAATATAATGCAACTAATATACCGAATAAAAAAATTAAAATACATTTATCGTTGTACGCTGTGTGTATTTCCATAAATTAGTTCATTGATGTTGAAAAAATAATACTACGTTCGTACCTACAATAGGTGGTGGCGTCGTACATATTTCAAATAAGCAATATATTGAGGCGAGCGGCGTGCCGCCGGCAAAATGCTCAAGGTCGTTCGCATGGAGTAGCCCCTTAAGAGCTTTCATAACGTGCAAATAGTCAATCGTTAACGTTACACGAAAATAATGTATGTCTGAATTGTTCCTCTAAAAAGTTCTAAAAAAAAATTTGGTTCTGATGATGTTTGTGCTGTTAGCCTTTTGGCTTTTACAGCTTCATCAGATTCAGGGCTCGCGGCCTGGAAGGCCCTGAATCTAAAAAGGGGTGAACTTTCATTATTCTGCGACATTACTTGCGAAACGGCGACTCCTAGGACAGTTTATAGTGCACGTAAATTAGTTATCTAACGGCCGTCCGAACAGGGGGTGACGGGTTCCGGCTCTGACTGCTAACTCGTATCGTTCGATGTTCTGGGCGGTGAAAACCAGCCGGTGTGGAGGGGTATGCGGTGCGCCCGTCTGCGTATTCGCTGCGTCCCATCCGTTGTTGTAGTAACTGTGTTTGTGGCACTAGGTGAGTGTGTAGTGTTTGTGTGTGTAGGGCCGGTGATATATCTGTCGTCGGCATCTAGCGGAACGGGAACGGGAACGTTCAATTAAAACGTTACGGGGCCTCTGGAGGTTTTCCGTGATGTTCGGAGTCGGAGCGTATGTGGCTGCGTTTACCACTAGCGGGTTCGGATATATCTCGGCTCTCTTGAAATACCGCCGAGACATTTCCTTGGGATACTCAGATATCGTCGGAAGTTGACAATCTCTGTATAAGTCGGAATTTGCTGATACCACCGGGCTTCGGTGGCTATGCGAATGAATCTATTTTGGACGACTTGGACATCGTACAAGTGTCTATGGGCCGCGTGCACGAAATCTACTCTTGCGTAAGATATAATAGGTCTTACGCATGTTTTGTACAGATGGAGCTTGTGTCTTAAGGACCGTTTGCTCTTTCAATTAATGATGGAGGCGGCTAGTGACGAGTTTTGCTCGATTGCGAAAATTGCGAATGTGTTTCGCGAATGTTACACCTTCATCAAATGTAACTCCTAGATATTTGGCCGTTGGTTGCCAGGGGATCTGGCGGCCTTATTGGGTGATCGTACCTAACAATTTCTTGGGGTTTCTGATTTGACGGTTGAAATTGGGGATCCTTTGAAAGTGTGTTACTACACATTTCTCAGGATTCCCTTCGCTACCCCATAAGCGGAACCAATCGCCTAAGCAGTTGACTGCTATTTGGAACTTTTCGCTTAGGATTCTTTTATTGTGATGGGCGACGAAAAGTGCAGTGTCATCGGGGAAGAGAGCAGTATTCCCTACATGGTCTTTCGAGATGTCACTCGTGAAGAGTGTGAAGAGTAGAGGGGAGAGGACGGAGCCTTGTGGTACACCAGCCTTGATGGGTCCTGTTTGAGATTGGTCGATATCTTCCAGCAGATTTTCCCACTTGTCATATCTAAACTCTTTGATGCGCTGTTTCACCTCGTTTTGGAGGTTGTGCAGTCGGATTTTGTTATCTATAGTACGATAGTGATTGTAATGCCTTAAGTCCACGTTCTTCGCCCTAATCAGCTGCCGAATGTCACTCGGAAGCTTCATGTGTCTATTGCTCGACACACGAACCCTACGAGAGCATTATTCAACTGTAGAGTTGAGGTGGGCCGATAGGGTGCTGATCACCTCATTGGCCTCCCTGTGCGAGTCTATCTTATCGGGTAATTTGTCTAAGTGCTGGGAGGTCGTAGACTCGAGTTTGACCTCGAACTTACGCTAGTCCACAATGGTTTTGGTTTGAAGGATCTCACCTGCGGGCTGGCCCAGTTGCAATAGGACTGGTTTGTGGTCCGAGTTGAGTTCTAAAATAGTTTCGATCGATGCTATTGACGAACGGATCTTTGAGTATCGCTACGTCAAGGACGTCCGGTTGGTGATTGGTAGCGAATGAGTAGCGGGTTGGAGTCTCAGGTGCGATAACATTGAAGTTTAGTCGCTTCGTAAGATCGAACAATGCATTACCATTGAGATTGCTTGTAAGCAACCTACAGGAGGATTGCTTAGGATTGGGAGGAGGCAGTCGTGAGCGAGACGCACTGGCTTGACACGCGTGTCCGGGAAAGCTTCTGCATCCGCGCTGCTTCCTTCGCGGCGCTTTGGAACACCCACGATAATTCACTGGGTGTCCCTCTTCGCGGCAATTGACTCAGCTCGGGGGTTCAACCGTCTCGGGCGTGCGGGGGCAGTCAGTGGTGCCGTGGTCACCTAGGCACTTGATGAAACTAAGGTTGGCGTAGTAATTTTTAAGCCAAGTTAAGCTCGGCTGCCTTTTTTGGGGCTGCGCGTTTGCGCTTTTTGCCCTGGACGAGGGAGAAGTCTTCGTCTTCGAGATTACGCAGGACACACGAGTCGTTCTCCATGTCGGAGCCTGATTCGGCATCCGAGAAGATTGGAGAAGGGCCGCGGGGGGATATCGCGGAGGGCGCGAAGGACGCGGCGTCGTAAATTGTGACTATGGAGACAGGGATTGTAAGTCCGGTGTTCGGCGACAGAGGGTCGTCAATTCGCATGGTCGGACCACCGATAGGGGATGGTGGGTGGATGGTCGGCTAGAGGCGCGGACTTAAGTGCGGGCTCGGGTGCGGGACGGGCATTACGCTGTACAAGGAACACAGCCCAAATGTCGGGGCAGGCACGAATAAAAAAGTCAGCGAGTTCGTCAATCGTTACCGACACCATCATGTTGTACTAATAGACAGCACAGGTGTGTACCAAGTTCCCTCAACCTTCGGCGGGGGAGTAGTGTGCCTAAACCAACACCTATACACCTAGTGCGTAGGTACGCTAGGGTGTGTACCTAGCTGTTGCTTAATGCTACAAGCAATACAAAAATTCAAAACGATGGCCGCCTCTGAGGCGGCCGGTGTGTTTCACTCTACTTACGGTTGCCGATATCAGTACCAGGAAGCCAGGAAGGAGAGGTACGCAGTAAACACTCTTTGCACCACAACAGGCGTTCACTACACTTCACTGTGAGACATTTTTTCTTTTTTCTTTTCTCTTTTTGAAAACGTTATCTCCACACTAGGATATTCTCCTGTATCGTGGCAGTATACATACATAAATTTCACAAGCACAAACATCCAGACCCGGAACAATTATTTGTATGCCATATAAATACTTGTTCCGTGCGGGGTTCGAACCCGCGGCCTTTGGTGCTGCAACTTATTGCTAAGCCACTGCGCCATGGAGCCGCCAAACTGTTGTCACCCTGGATAGCTTGCATCGTGCATCACGGAGAGGGTACCAAAACAGTCACCAAAGTCACAGCACCAAGCAGTATACAGCGCACAGGCGTGATGTGTTAAAATAGGTTGAGCGCATGAGCTAAGAGAGTAGATTGACGGGAGTGGACTCGACCGACACGTCCGGAGTCTACAGAACCCAAGCGTAGAATCAATGTAATGAATGAATCAGTGAATCTTCTAAAAAAAAGTACGTTACATTATATGCCTATCTTCTAAGGATTACTCACATTTATATCTGCGCAGTGGTGGTGAGGATGTCTGCGCGGGAGAGACATACTAAAGAACTTTGTTCGGCTGGTATTATTTATAAGGCAATCTAAACTTATGAGACCAAATAAAGTACGATTAAACATTATTATTAAAAGAATGTCATTGTTTCACTTTCTTACAATATATTATGTTATCTGCTTTCCAGAAATTCTTCTAGAATCTCAACTCAAAAAGTACGGAACCCTGAACTATGCATCGGGTGTTATAAGGATAGCGGGCGCGCTCGGCAATCGGGAACTCAGACTTGGATCTAACGAATATGGAAATAAGGTAAAATTTATCAACACGGTATTTAAATGTCGTACATTGGCGAAATAGAATTCATTACTAGTTTCTTTTAGGTTTTGTATGGTGGTCCTATTATGGATTTACGATGTAGAGACATTCTCACTGGCAGAAAGGAAATAATTAATAATCAACTTTGGGGTGATGATTTTCACACATATTCAGTACGCTGGGCACCAGGTAGATAAATTTATTTATTAATTATCATCATTATATTATAGCTCATCGCAAGCCCACTGCCTGAACATAGGCCTCCTCAAAGAACGTCACAAAGCACGTCCCTGACCCATCCGCATCCATTGACTTCCTACAGCTGTTACTAGGTCGTCACTTCATCTAGTGTAAGTTCTACCTATACTTCAATTACCGCTACAATGCTGCCACTCGAGAATCTTCCTTCCCCATAAGTTGTTGGCTGTTTGAGCTATATGGCTGGCCCATTACCACTTTAGCTTATTAATCGGTTGGGATATGTAGGTTACTCTGGTTCTACTGCGGATATCCTCATTAAGAAGTCTATCTGGTAAAGAACTTCCGAGCATGGCCCTCTTCATATCTCGCTAATTTATTATAATTTTATTATTATTATTATAAACTGAAGTGACGAACTGACTTACAGTCAACCTGATTGTAAGAAGCTACTGCAGCCCATTGACACCTGTTAACAGTTGCAAGTAAAGGAGGCTACATATGCGTTCTCACCTCTGAGGACAAGATGAAATGCCACACAGCCTGTAAATTATACTTGCTCTCTATGCTCTTCACACCGGAATACAGTAGTGCACGTACTGTTTCTTTTCTTGACGGTACAATAAGTAATAGGGCAGGGGTAGTGAACCTTTATGTATCAACGTGCAATTTTTCTAAAGAAATTTTTAACAGACGTGCCGTAAAATAGTTTTGACTTCGAGATTACCGCCGCCCCGCGCACCGCGCCTGAACACTACGTAGCGTAGGATCACTCGCGTTCGTTTGTAATATACTTCATAGTGAACTCGGTGGCGTACCTAAAATATTGTGTCGCGTGCCATTGGTTCGCCACCTCTCTAATAGGGTAACACCTATCCAGGCGGCCTCTTAGATAAAAAATGTACAACTACAACTAAGTAGATAATTCTAGAATCTAAAGATGAAAAGATCATAATCATGAGCACATCCTTTCACAAGTCCACTGCTGAACACATGATCATGTATGTGTTCAGCAAGTCCAAAAGATTGTTACAGAGCACAACTTTGAGCCGCCTGTATCCATTTTCTTACCAGTGCGTCATTAAATCTAGATTTGAAAAGAGGTTAATATTTTAATATTTAATTTTAATAGAATGATTACCTTAAAATTATTTACTATTGCATGTTACGGTAATGTGGACCGTATAACGTATAAGGTAGAGAGGTTGCAGACGGCCAAACTGAGAGACACGAATGTATTTCTGAATAACTATCACAGACTATTTGTGTAGTCATATTATGCTTTTTTTTTAAATTTTATCTACCAAACATAAAGCGATAGAAATTTAAAAAAAGGACGCGATACGATATCGTATTATTGAGTGTATCGATACAAAATGTGACTATCAAAAGAAAAAAAAATTCAAACGATGTTACAATACGATACAGGAGATATGTATTGAATTGCAGCAACGAAATGGCTACCCATTCAGCATGATGCTACGACGTTGTCAACGCAGTGCTGATATTTTGACAGGAATTTACTAACAGTCACATTATGTTGCATCGATACACAATAATTAAAAATTAAAATTTTGTACAACCCTCTTCAATATAAATTATTAAGAATAACTCAAAAAATAACAATATCTTTATTGCTCCTTGTTATTATTTCTAATATTGATTAACAAAAGATTTCTAAAACATTATTTAGTATATTTTTAATACTTTTTCAGATAGAATAACCTTCACAGTTGACGGCGAGGAATGGTTCAGGGTTGATCCGTCGGCGAGTGGTCTTCAGGGACGGTTCAATAATTTTTGCGAGATACCTCGTTCGTTGCTTTCTCTAGGCAGTTCTATAGCACCGTTTGATGACCATGTATGAACGATTTCAAATTTATTACGATGCTTTTTAATCTGTTTTAGATGTTTTAAAAAATACTAGTTTCTTTCTTCTTTCAAGTTAGTTTAAAACACTAGAAAAATAGAGTCCATATGAAGATAAGTGGATGCTGTGACTCGAACACACCTTCATCTATCCTCAATTAAGAATCAAGTTCCTGCACATTTGTGTTAGCTCTGAGTACTATGATGGAATGTCTTGTTACTGTTAAAAGTGATTACAAAAACAGCAGTAGCATGTTGTTATTTCATTTTGTATTCTGTGCTAGCGTTATGCTTTTCCCGTCAAGCCAACCTGTTCATGCTGCAGTCTTTATGTGCAGCAACGTCAGTAATTGAATGGCCGTTTCGATCACAAGAATTTTTTCCGCAGTTCGTACGTTAACTATTAGGGTATTGTCGCTTAAACTAAACAATATTAGTGCTGCTTTAGCAATTCTGTCGAAGTTTGTACAAATTATAGCATTTTCGTCACTACGTGTGTGTGATTGTTCTCCTGTGCACACTGCAACTAACTTTTACCCTATTCTAATTATACTGGTAGATTTGTATAAAACTCATACTGGATCGGATATTCATTACCGGATCTGAACAATAGGTGATATTTTTTTTTATGATATTCTTTTTCTTATTGGGTAGGGTTTACACCCAAACGAGCACACAGCCCACCTGATGGTAAGTGGTTGCTGTGACCCATAGACATCTACATTTATCCTCAATAAAGAATCAAAATGCAGATGCGTCTTCATCGTTCTCTACACTCACCATACGAAACATAGCAGTGTCAAGCCATTTTACGCTGGTATTCTGTGAGAGCGTGGTCCTTCCCCGGTCGAGCCGACCCATTCGTGCTAAAACTATACAACTAATATGGCTGCAGCATGGCTCTACCACGTATAGATTCGATGATATCATTAACATTACACAGACGTTAGTTTGCGCACAAACGCTCGTATACTTTTCATACAAGAAAAGTTAAACGAGTATGTGACTCACCTATTGGAAAGTGAATATCATCCACCGTTGATTATAGCCCGTCCCTTAAGATTGCATCATAAGGTAATATTTGCTATAGTTACCACGTTTGAAAGTTATGACGAAGTTTTTAAGATGCTGCGGCTCACCTGTGTCATTTTCCTTGGTCACCTTTTATGAAACGTATGGGATAGTATGGCGTATTCTTACACCATCACTACACGGTAGAAATAATTATTGATAAGAAACTTTAATTTGATGGATCATCCAAATCCGTTAGCAGCAGAGGCAGTTAATTCCTCAGAGAGGATTACGGCCTCCTCCAGGAGAAGTTACAAAAACGTTCTTCTTGAAGCCTAGGATGAAATCAAATCATCATCATTATAAAAGTCCAAAGTCGTTTTGTTCCAATTTCAAAGAGTTAACGTCTATTTTTAACTTACGTATAATTTTGTCTTTAATATAATAATGCAATTTAATTTTCAGTTCCAAATAACTATTGGCGTTGCAGCGGGCGGCATTACCGAATTCACAGATAACGTCATAAACGGTGACGGAAGGCCAAAACCATGGAGCAATCGAAACCGGAAAGCGAGTCTTAACTTCTGGAAAGATTTACCCGCTTGGATACCAACGTGGCAACAACCAGCACTAGTCATAGATTATATCAAAGTTAAAGCGTTATGACGTATCTGCAATAAACTCCTAAAATATTCTAGTTACTTATAAACTTAATATTAGTTAATAGAGAAAATAATATAAATGAATAAGTAAAGTAGATTGTTTTATTACATATTATTCCAAAATTTCCCGTGTAGTATAAAAATAGCCACTACCAAATATCATCTCGTGGGCTTACTAAGCAGGCGACAAAATGAAACTGTAACGGAGGATCAGCGGTACTTCCTGATAACAATTCCAATTAATTGAAGACTGCGGCGGCCGACCCGCCTGTAAATTGTGACAACATAATGGTATCTAATTGAATTATATATAGAAACAGTTTGGCAACGATTACCCCATACCCAGGAGTTACAGTCATGAATACATGAATATAGAAACATTATGACATAAAGAATACTTTAACATTATAATAAAAAAAAATGCATCTTTTATTAAATAAAAAAAATGGTTTTTACTTAGTTAGGCCTGAATTAGTTACACTTGGCTTGCTTTGGCTGATTTCCTCTAGATCCAACTGAAAAACGAAATCTTTCGGTAACATTTACACCAGTTATCGGAAATTCCCCCTCTGCTTAATTTACTTGAGTAAGAAAAACGCAGTGTTAAGCCACACTATATAGAGTATCGAAGATCTGATGAAACATGCAGGTTGGTGGATACAAGTGACTCAGGACCGTACGTTGTAGTAATCTACGAGGGAGGTCTGTGTTCAGTAGTGGACTTGTAATGGGTTGTAATGATTATGATAATGATGATAATAATGATGAAGAAATAAGCTAAGTTGCGTCGATTTTTCACATTTTTATTAAGATCAAGCGATCCAAGGGCATTAAGCAATCCAAACTTTTCGCTTCTGTACATAAATTCCAGAAATAACTAGGTTAATTAGTTCGACGTGGTTTTGTTGTTTCAGCTATTCCTTCAAATACTTGTGCAATTTACATGAGTTCAACATTTTCTTCAAAAGTTACAAATTTCTAATGTTTTCCACATGTTTCTCCTTTTTACTTTCTATTTCTTTGGTGAGAGATAAGAACCGGTTTTTTTTTCTGGAAATCATACATCCAATGTGCCGCATCATAAGTGACAACGCATTTGGTTTTATAGTCGACGCGTAAGTTTTTGATGTATTTAATTAATTCACGCAAACGGCTGAACTGATTTAAATGATTCTTCCTTTATTAAATAACTCATACTTGAAGGGTGGTTGTATATAAATTTTGAGGAAGAAATTCAACCATAAAGGTAGAATAATAGTAGATGAAGATTTTAGCGTTTAACATTCTAGTTTTTTTACTTTGAACTTGTGATATTTCTTAATTCATTCACAAAAGTAAAATAATGAAACTTTAAAAAGTAAAACCAACCTTAAAGAAAACAAGAACAAGAAATAATAAAACAATTATACATAAACGCTTCTGAAGTCGGAGCAGATAAGGAAATTATTTTATTCTTTCGTTATAAAGTCAATTTTACTTCTTTTTTTAAGTTAAATTATTGCGTTCAATTTAAATCTTTTGCAATGAACTTTGCCCAAGCACTTTATCTTGATCAGTGTGAAATCAAAGCGTAGTTGTACTTTCAAGTCATGAAAGCTAATCAGATTTCAAAGGCTCTATTTGCATACAGGACCGGGAATATACCCAACCCTCGTCACAGACGCCCCGTATAGTTCAAAAGCTATACATACCTTCATCGAATGTAAGCTATGCTGATAATTTTATTCAACACTAACGATGCGCCTCGGTATCGCATGTGTGATTTCTGGATCTCAACAACCAGCGCCACCTTCCGGATGCAATTGTGAATTTAAACCATCCAGGGACTTAATCAAACACACAAGAAGTTCATCAAAATAGGTCCAGCGATTTTAGAGTTTTCTACCGACTTCCAAAAGGAGACGGTACTCAATTCGACTGTATGTTTTTTTTGTGTGTGTTACTTCATAACTTTTACTGGGTGAACCGATTTCGATGATTTTTTTTTAATTTGAAAACTGGTACTTCACATGTGGTCCCATATAAATTTGATCAAGGTCTGATTAATAGTTTTTGAGTTATTTTTAATAATTTAAATTGAAGTGGATTGTACAAAATTTTTAAATGTAAATTTTTTTATTTGAAAGCTGGTGCTTCACATGTGGTCCCATACAAATTTGATTAAGGTCTGACCAATAGTTTTTGAGTTGTTCTTAATAATTTATATTGAAGTCAGTTGTACAACATTTTTAATTTTAAATTATTGCGAGACTAGCGGACAGTACGAGTAATTGATTTTTACAGATTGCCACATAACGCGCGCAATTTATTGTATGCTAGTTATAGTATGAGGCACAACTTCACTGCAATTTGTAAAAGTATAGTTGTATTCACGATGCTTTTTATTCTTGCAGAATCGTGAGAAATGTGTACATGTTCTTTTCTTTTCTATGTCATTTTTTTTTATAGGATAGGGTGACAAACGAGCACACAGCCCACCTGATGGAAAGTGGTTGCTGTGACCCATAGACATCTACATTTATCCTCAATAAAGAATCAAAATGCAGATGTGTCGTCACCCGTGAGGACTAAGATGGAATGCCTCTTTTCCAGTAAAATGGTTCTCCGGTTTTCTACACTCACCATATGAAACACAGCAGTGTCAAGCTGCTATTTTACGCTGGTATCCTGTGAGAGCGTGGTCCTTCCCCGGTCGAGCCAACCCATTCGTGCTACAACTATACTACTAATACAGCTTCAGTGTCACCGGTACATGATTTCGTAAGTTTAAAAATTACGATCTTCTGAGGACGTTGTTACTTTTCGAAAAAATAAAATTACAACGTCATTAATTAAAGCCAGTACCTACTTACTTACTAGTTTATCTGTTGTGTAGTCGAGTAGTGGCGCTGTAAAAATATCCACTACTCCATATCATCCTGATGGTGTCGTAAGAGGTGACAGAGGTAAGTCGTAAGAGGTTTTCAACGTGGTCCAGCCATGCTGCGACTATATTATGCACGGATGGGTCAGCTCAACCGAGGTAGGACCACACTCTCACAGAATTCCAGCGTAAAATGGCAGCTCAATGCTGTTTTGAAACGACGTTCCTTATCGGACGGTACGGGTTTGGCGGATGGAAGCTAGGCGACAAAAAGTGTAAGATTTTTTCTTCAATACCCCATGTGTCATAGTGTATTTTATTTTAAATGATGCTTCATTTTAATGGACACTAATAATGAATTTATTTATATTTTTTAATCAATAATATAATACGTTTATCAATAATAATATACTATGAAAGGAACTTCGTTCCAACCGAGTGTTCCACGACACTCACGCAGGTTTCATATGGTGAGTGTAGAGAACCAAAGACCATTTTTACTGGATACGGGCCATTCCATCTTGGTCCTCAGGGGTAAAAAGCATCAGCATATTGATTACACACACACTCGATTACACAGTATTCATTTACTATCAGGTGGACTGCGTGTTCGTTTGTCACCCTTATTCTACATAAGAATGAGGGAAATTAAACTAGAGATAGGCAGCAGCAACTCCCTAATTCCAAATAATAAAAAACTGCGGTTGCCAAACTGTCTGCCAAACGTGGCAACTATGGCAAACATTCCTCATATGAAAGAGGACTATGGGGAGGCCTATGCTCAGCAGTGCTTTAATAGGCTGTAATGATGATGATGATAAAGGTGTATCGATTTTGAAGATTACGAATTTTTATTTAGGACTAGAAGTGCCTGTCATTCGCTGCAATGGCTCTTTTTGTCAGCAACTACACACCAAAGTCCTCAGAAATAAACAAGTACTCATATATTTAATACTTTAATTCGTCATTCATTACAACCTTTCCAAAGTCGACTGATAATAATATACCGGTCCATAGAGTGACACATACTCTTTATTTTTTTTATAGGATAAGGTGACAAACGTGCACACAGTCCACCTGATGGTAAATGGTTGCTGTGGCCCATAGACATCTACATTTATCCTCGTTTGCGTATCAAAATGCAGATGCGTTATCACCCTTGAGGACTAAGTTGGAATGCCTCTTTTCCAGTAAAAAGGGTCACCGGTTCTCTACACTCACTATACGAAACACAGCAGTGTTAAGCTGCTATTTTACGCTGGTATCCTGTAAATACACACACACATAATAAGGTAACAACAATATCAACATTAAAATAACATGTATAAAGGCGAGCTTAACTCTATTAAGAGTTCTATTCCAGCAAACCCTTGGGAAAATAGAAATAATTTTATATGTAGAGCAAGTAGTGTACTTAGTAAATAACATAAATAAACTAAATAACTATTTTAAGTCGATCTAATATGATTTGGTATTTCGTCGTAGATTAGTTACAAAGATCTTTTGCGTAAAGGGACACAGCCTTTTTATAAATACCTAACACTGACTAAAATAATTTACTCTGAAACAAAATAAACGAGTTCAAACCAAATGTTATTAAAACTTGTAAAATTCGTAAAATTTTAAGTGGTCATTCAAACATTCTCAAATACGCTTTACCAAGAATAACCAAATACCAAAGAAAACGTTACGAAATGCAGATAACCTATAATTACCTATTCCCAGAACCCAATGTGCAATCAAAATCTGATGTATGAAATAGCTAAGTTATATAATAAATTATCTAATGCCATTGAAGATGTTGAATCTGACAATTATTATAAAAATGAACTTAAGCTGTGTATATAATATATAATAGAATATATAATACAACACAATGAACGCAGTGGCAGAATTGTTTAAATCTTGGTGGAATGAGGAAAGTTATTACATTTATACTTCCGGTTTAGTGTCCAGAAATGTTAATTATTTTATTATTAGCTTCCTTTACATAAGTTTCACTCGAACTACTAAGTAGACGTAACTGATTATTTTTGTCTCTATGATGGAAAATATTACAATACAATACAGTATAGTACTCTTTACCGTACACCAAGGAAGAGAACCCCTTTGTCGTATCTCCTCTGTTTCAAAGCACTCCC